CGATGCGCGACGCCACGCTGCCACCGCCGCCGCCGCCGCCGCCGCCGCCGCCGCCCTCCTCCTCGCGGGACAACGAGAGCGTCTTCTGATGGCTGCATTCGACAACGCGAAAATTAGTCCGGGATTCGAAGAATACTAGGAAAACAACGCAACAAGCGACACCATTCACAGTCGCAACCAATGCCACTTAGGTACCGGGGCAACACCAATGAGGAGCGTCAACTCCAGACCCCAGAATAAATTGCAGTATAATCGAGGGATATAGTAAAATATAAATATATCAACCTGTACCACTCATTCAAGTATGTTGGAACAACGACGTACATTTGACAACGTACATTTATCTAACATCCTTAGCAAGTACAGCAACTCTCAACGATCTTGCATATAATATGCGCAACGTAATTCCATTTACCCGAAAACAGCGTGCGCGCGGGCTGAGCACCTGGTAATTAGGAAGTCAACCAATCTCAGGTGGAACAACAGGCAACGCCGTATCTCCCGCCCGCGCAGTCCCACATCGCCGTTCCCGGGCCCTCTCGCGACCAACTCTCCTGATTAAACATCCTGTTGGAACAGCCCGGCGCTGGAACAGTCCCGCTCCGGCGTAAACCCCTCGGCACATTCTCTTTAAAACGCGGGCGGTAGAACTGCGGCTTTCGCTCTAAAAGTCGCGGGGCTACAGCTCAACTTTTAGTGATGTTGAAGGAAGTGGCACATTTCAAGGTGCATACGTAACGTTTTTCTGACGACGCCCACCTTTAGCTCGAAAAAAAGACTAACTCCCTTTGTTTTAAATGTCCTCAGGTTACAACCCAGCAAAACGGCGCAAAAAAAAAGCTTTTCTCTCAACCGTGCTTCCCTCAGAGTTCAAATCTCTATGAGCAACAGGCCTACAGAAGCTTCCTCAGTAACTTCCCTCTCGTAATTCTTAAGCTCATTTCTCTGTCACCCCGTTTATGCCACGAATTCACGCTGAGCGGCTTGAAAACGCCAACAGAATCTTCAAAAGGGTGTTTAGCTTAGTAAAAGAAAACATTCTTCACGATCGCGACTGAAATACATTTCACGAAGCGCGATCGATATTATCGTGGAAACTAAAGGTCTTTCATCGCCCTCGTTAAGACAAAATAAACAAGAATTTTCGTTTCGCTCGGCGTCCGACAGGCTTCAAAGCCACAAAGCCCTTCGGCCTCCGCACGCCGGCGCGCCGCGAAGTCGGCCGGGCTTCTACGTACCCTCGGGGAGGAAAAGGTCCGGGCCGTTTCCTCGTTCAAGTCAGTCAGGCGGACGGCGGGCAGCGACAGGCCGGCGCTCACCTGCAAAGAAGGCAGAGAAAAATACGTCAGACATGCAGCTGGCGCTCCTCAGGCAGGGACGGGAAGCAGTGTTATTGAAGGCTCGCAATATTGGACAAAAAATCTGGGAACGGACAAAGCGAATAACATAAAAAAAGCACAAGGAAAAAATGTGGTTCATTCCAGACGAAATGAGAAACAAACATCTTAAGGAATTACATTGTTCATTACCATTATCCAAACAGAATCAATGTTTTAAGGCTAACAGAATTGCAAATCGACTCTAACTGTACCAATTACTCTGAAGTAAAATATGTTATCTCTAACATTTTTAATTATCATAAATGACAAAATACAATTTAAACAAGGATTTTGGGATAATTTGTCTTCGTTTGGCTAATATCAAAATCAATCATATGACTTTTTATGGGGAATCATCATACTTTTAATGGGGAAACTCACTTTACCTCTCTCACCAAATCGAACTAGCAAACTAGATTTGAAAATGTAATTCTCATCTCGCAGAAACTGCATAGCAGGTCCGTCTGCACAAGGTGTTAGCGAATGACCTTCACATCCAATTCGCGCATGCGTTCTCCGTGAGTTCTTAAAAGATCCCGCAGAAAGGAACCATGAGTTAGCAAACCAACGGGATTGTGTGATATGAAAGTAGCAAATGCATTGTTGTTGCATTAAGAGATGAATATTAAAAACTAGTGTTACCCGAAACAGAAATTAATCCTCCTACGATATAAGCGACTCTGAATGTCACTTATATCACAAGTAATCTGACTATGCGACCCGTTGCAGAAAGATATTAATCAACCGGAATCTCCTTAACACCTTAAAATTGCTTGAGGAAACCGCTTAATAAAGGTCGATCTACAAAATTGGCCTGAGCGAAGGCCATCTAGGAAGGTTTGCCACTAAAAAGAGGGAATATTCACACGTGTCTTTTGGAAAAATCAATCAGTACCACTGAAAAATGGTCGGAAACTAAGGTAACCGCTTAAATGGGTGGTCGTTTGTGCAGATGTCACTGGACATAAATACAATATGAACCATAACAACTTCTTTGTTTTTATATAACAACCCAGTATTCTATATTAAAAGGTCAAAATGTATTTATCATAAGGATAACTTTGTTACAATTTATTACAATTGTAGATATTTTCTTTTCTCTAGAGATGGAACTGAAAACTTAATGACAATGTTTGCACATAGCGAAACATAGCTAAAGTCTCGCCACGTAAAATAAGGCAAATTCAATTCAATTCAAAAAGTTGTATCTGCCTCAAAGTAAAGATAAATTATCGATTAAAACAACGGATCTCTTGAATTCTCAGTCAAACGTTTGCCATTTTCAGCCAAAATCATCCTCCGGCATAAAAATGCGTCATCATTTAAATGCAAATCACAACATTCTCAGGAAAGCTTCAATGGCAAATCACATATTCACATGCCATATACCCCGCGTGATTTGAAGTATATTCAAGTGTGTCTTTTATTCTAAATAACTTTGAGTCAATGCGAAAGCCATTCACATACCTAAATCCTAGGCGAGAACCCACACACACCCCATAGAAACGTCCTCTTTATCTCAGAACAGCCACGCCGCGAAAATGGCGTGAGGAACTCAATTCAACCATATTTACGGCTGTGCAATTAAGATTTAACCCCAGATTACGACTCACTTTCAATAAAAAGGCAGAGCCATAAATCTTCGAACTCCACGCAAGAAAAAATATAGTTGCCCTAAAACATAATTAAAAATAACTTAGCGGTAATGCTTCATTACGACCAGTCAGCCGACACAAAAAAATTGTTTTTCGTGCCTCGGAAAATTAACTCTGGACACCTTCACTTGCTGCAGAGCTTAAGGGGAGATACGTAAAAGTTACTGTTACGCGCCGAGTGAATTAAAGTCCCCTCTCTGAAACCGGCAGCGTTATTAATGCGAGAACGGAGAAATAGCGTCTTCTTAAACAGGCACACGGCGTTGAAATGGGCCAGCGGCACGATAATTTAGGCGCCTGTGACGTATTTCAAACGAACCATAATGCAACCGTGGCCTCATTTTTATTACAGTCGCAAGTTAATGCAGCCCCTGCGTTATTTCAACGCGGACTTGCAAGGGGATCGAAGTAATCGATGCCTTCATTCGCCTCATCCCCAAACCGGAAGGGATGAACCCCTCGGTTTCACGTCCGCCAAACCTCCGACATGCATCAATTTTGAAACGAGCCTTCCCTCGGCAGCCGAACCGTAAAATAAGACGTATGTATATTTTATCATAATACGAACAGCATATTTTCGAAGCACCGAAGGGGGTATTAAAGTTTCGCGGGGCTCTGCATATTGTAGCTCCTGGCGAGCGCAGACAGGTCACGCCAACGCGGGGTGGCAGGAGTGGAGGCGCGGCGAGGGCGAGAGTGGGAAAGAGGATGTGGGGACGGCGACGGCAGCCATGACTGAGAAGTTTAATTAGCGGTTATACGATTTCTAGACAGAAGAGGTTGAAAAGAGAACACTGGTTGTTTTATTTAAATTTATAATTCGTTTAAATCATAATTCACCTCGCATGTACATTATCTCACATCCGCAATTATATTTTTTAAAAGTCGTGAAAAATCTACAAGTAAAAAATAGGTTGTGAAGTTACAAAAAAAAACTGGAATTTCCAGGCCAGGGTTTATTGTAAACGTTTTAAATTAAATTCCCTTTTGCTTTTCGATTTTGGTCACGTAAGGAATGTAATAACCATTTATTAAATGCGCTCCCTAGAAGCAAAATACATACTTAACATAGAATAACGTCGTGAACAGAAACTAATTACAGCTCATTGTATTACTCTAAATGTTCTTTTTTAAATGTTTAGATATAGTCAATAAAATAATTGCAATGCAAACTTAAATAAAATATACGTTACACATTACCAAAGTTGATGGAATTCGCGGAAACATTAAATAATATGCTAGCACATTTGCTCCTTATGAATTAAGAGATGTTTCAAAATAAATGACGTTGCAAAATAAATGACGTAAACTATATACGTTGCATCACATTTCGTTTCAAAAAATGAGCTTCGAGATAACATACAATTCTAACAAAAAACTTTGAATAAGAATTAATGTGCGTTAGAACGAGATATAAACATGGTGCTATGACACATTGTTCAAACGTTGCTGACACGTCACTCGATATCTTTAATATAGTTTTAAATGCATAAGATATTTACACAAATTATTATTTACATTGTACCACAATCCCCTCTGAACATTATCTCACTTCAGGTAATTAACTTTCTGCATTGAACAGTCGCACATCCCAACTCTCAACATACAGCAATCAAATCACCCATGTATCAAATTACAGCAACGAATGAAAACCGCGATAACGCGCCATCATGCAAGAAAACACCACCTCGGAAATTAACGGCAACGATTACCGTGGTCAATGTAGCGAAACGCGAACTGAGGACCGGCCATAATCCAACGCGCTCTAACTCTGGGAGCGCCCGCGAGCCGCGTGCGAGCGCCGTTCGCGAATGACGGAAGAGGAGGGGGCGCGTCCGGGAGGGAGGAGCGCGGATTGCGGTGGCGCGGGGGCGGCCGCTGGGGGTGGCACCAGCTGCGGCGGAGGGCGGCCGCCTGCCAGCCGCCGAGGGGAGTCGCTGCTGCTATCGTTTGCACCACCCTTGACCCTCCCGGCCAGGTCGCCACGCCACGCCATACCACGCCACGCCACGCCACGCCACGGGCGTAGCCAAGGCCGGCGAAACGTACATAATTTCAGGTGAGGAGTACCATTAGTGGGGAGGCGCATGTATTTTCTTTTTTTTTTTGTATTTAAGTTTTCGTAAAGAAAAAGCATGATAACGGGATACCATATGTAGTTAATTCAACATTTTAATTAATAATTTATATAAACACATTATTAAATTATTTGTACATTGTTTACCAGCAACAGAAGGGATCAATTCTACATTCGTTTTTAAACTTTTCGTGTTATCATTATCATTTTTCGAGGTTAAGCCCGATGAACTCGCAGGAAGCAGCGTGCTCTCCACTTGATTCATCAGTTTTGTCATTCCCTCGTTCACCTCGTAACCTTCAAACAATAAACCGGTTCATTGTAGGGTTCTTTTGGATGCAATGGGACACAGCCAGCTCGCCATAAACATGTTGCGCGAAGTCACAACTGCGCACCGCACGCGAAGTTTGAATATTGAATAATGTTTTTGGTAGTTTTTAAAAATATTGTTTTCCACCAGTTTGATCGTGGTAATAAATGTGTTAAATTTGATTTTCCCCCCAACTTTTGTCAAAATTCCAGGTGGGTAATTCCCCGCCTGGAATATGTCCGCGTGGGTAGTACTACCCCCCGTACCCACCTCTTCCGCCGGCCGTGACTGTAGCCGTCATCGCACCCGCGATCTGCACCGCTGTCGCGGCCATTTCGATCAGCGTCACCGCCGCCGCCGTCGCCGCCTCCGGCGTTGCCGTCCCTGCCCCGGTTCCAGCCCGGCTCGTAAATCTCAATATCTCGCTAATAAACTGCCGGGCGCATTCATCACCGCGTTAGCGCCCGGTCGCGCGCGCCGCCCGCCCCGACACGCCCCCCGCCCGTGGCAGCCGCGCCGCGATCGGACTTCGGCGAAATTTCCGCGTTCGGCGGCGACTCCCTCCTGGGGAATTTCCGGCGCACGGAGCGCTGGGCGGCGCGCGTCACTTCCCGGATACGTCACCCGGCCAACGCGGGGCGTGAGCTCCGCTCCGGGGGCCACACGACTGTGGCTCTGCCACCGTCCACCGTCGCCACTCGCCTCGGTGATAGCCAAACACTCGATTTCCTCGTTCACTATCTTGAGAGTTTCGGCGCAGCGCAAGATTAAACCATTTCTTAAACATATTTGTTTGTTCTATATGGAATACATAGTTCCATACACAATACAGATGTGTTTTTCGACTTATGCTAGTTAAAATATCTAATGAAATAATTATATTCGTCGTCATTGCCAACAATATTATTTATTATTAGAACAGCTTTCAATGGCTTAGCCATCATCATCAGTTTTCTGCTGTATTGAAGCCACAAAAACGACTACAGCAGAAAGTGGCTTCCACACAGCAGAAAACTGACGATGATGGCAATGACGAAGCATATAATTATTTCATTAGAAATGCCAACGATAACTCACCACAACACCAATAAAATATCTAAGCTAACTTAATCTATACATTGGAGAGGATACTCTAGGGGAGAACCTCGGAGTTATGTATCGTGGTTGGGTAAGATTTTGAGAAAGACTTCAAAAGGAAATCTATTTTTATTCGGGTTAGTGTTGGATTTTTTGGTAGTTTGAAATGGGATGAAAATTAAACCATAGTCATTTCAGTCATTTTTTTCTGTGATATAATTCACAGTTACTGCAAATATTCTTCGCGTAATAAAAATATTAATTGAGTCAATTTTAGAAACTTTTACGAATGAACAAAAGGAATCAAGAACACTCTTCTGCTCTTTCTTAACACATTCCTTATTCGCGTTTTCCAGAGAGAAATGTAGATCCATATTTCTGTCATGAAAATATACATAAGCCACATGAGGGGCTCAACCAAAAAGCAGGAAAGTGACATTTTTCTCAAACTCTGAGGTATTTTTTCATGTTGATAAATACATTACCTAAAAATAAGCCAATTTGTTGGCTGAATATAGGCATTGAAAGCCATTAAAGAAAGTTGAATGGCGAAATATTTTCCTGGGAATTTAACTTCTCTAATATTGGAGCAGGTGGAGCAATAATGTACCAAAACCTTTTCAATTCAAAAACCTTTTTCCTGAAGAAGAACAAGAACAATAAATCAAAAAGCAAAGTATACAAATCTGCCGCTACTGAAAGAGTTTATTTCATCTGTTCACCATATTTTTTAAAGCATTTCTCTTGGATAAATGTATGCTCTAATAAGAAGAGAGAACCAGCTGGATTAAACTAGACCCATTATGAAACCATTAATGACGATAATATTATTTCAAATGATTACGATGAACGATATGATTGGGTTTTTATTGAGTATTTTTATATATTACTTAAATATTTTGAATTTATATATGCAATGAATGAATAGAACTACCCTTTAGGCATATCTTAACCAGAAAATTAATTTTTTATCAGAAGAAACTTCTCTAATATACTATTCACATCGTAATGTAAGGCGCCTTTCCTCCGTTTTGTGGCTTTATCACCTGATTTTTGTGCTGATCTCTTATTTTAGTGTTCTGGCCGTACAAAAATATTACGAAAACAACGTACATTTGTATTTGCACACTCTTGTATTTTCATATAAGTATTTCATCTCTTACTACGACTTGGAAATAAATATTACAAATTTGAGCTTCTTTGAAATGTTTCAACTTAAATACTTTTAATATCATACAACTCAATAAATACAAGACGTGCAACTTCATGGTCATACTTCACTTTGTCTTTAATATCGTTCATGTAACTCCCAATTTGATGCTCGATAATCATTTAGCAAAATATAGAGCGATATCAGTAATAAAATATATGTTATTCAAATATTTAATCCATATACAAAAACTTCAAATGAATTTTACAATTCCTTGCGTAATGAAATTTAATCAATATTTATTCCCAATATATGTTAATTATGTTCAGGGAAGAAATATCGACTTTTAACGCCACGTATCCCTGAGAGAAGAATGGTTTTAACAGACGAGAAACAAAAGTGAAAGTACAGGTTTCTCTCTCAAAGACCTTGGGAGTTCCCTGAAGAGATTAAAGCAGCTTCACCGTTCGTTCATCAACGCGACACCTAGCAGCAACTCCCTCAAATACGAAAGGCGCTGAAAGTGTCGCGTTTTCGCAGAGAAACTCGCACGACGCGCGCGTCGTTCGATGTCAAGATGATTAAAAGCAAGTGCTGCTCTGTCAAGCGCACGGGAACTTCCGAGACGGGCCG